ATTAACAGCCGCGACGCGGACGAGGGACATGCACTATTCATTAACCTCGTCTGCCGCGGCTTCTCTGAAATTGACCCCTCGCACGCACGACGCGCTTCAACTTGGATGAGGCTTGGCGTGCGAGAATTTCAGGAGGACTGCTTATGAAGAGGAGGGAGGAGAAGGAGGAGGAAGGGGGGGGTGGAGGGCAGGAGTGAGGAGGAGGGACGTGGAGTACAGAAGAGGGAAAGGGAGAGGAATAGGAAGAGGGAGAGGGAGAAGGGGGAGGGGGGGCAGGAATGGGAGGGAGGGGGGTGGGCGGATGGGCAAGAAGCGAACTTGCATGGTGGGGAGCCGAGGGGAATGATGACGGGGGGGGAGAGGAGGACCTTGCGGCGGGCGCGGCGCCGGTCAGCCTCCGATCGTGCCAGCGGCGATCGCGCGGTGTGCCCGCCGACGCGGGCGGCGCGACCCGTGCCGCAGGGCCTGGACGTGCCCGCGGGCTGGGAGATCGAGCGGTGCGTCCAGGCCCTCGACCTCGACCGCAGCGGGTACGTCGAGTGGGTCGAGGACGCTGCGCCCCCCCGCGGGGGGGGGGGAGGGCGAGAAGGGAGGCGGGGGCTCGGAGGGGGACGAGGAGGAAAAGGGTACCGATACCGCTGCCCTGCCACGGCTGGATGCGTCCCGAACTCCTGGTCAGAACGCACCCTTGGAGAGGTCACGGAGTAGCGGCACCGGGTTATCAATCTGCTTCCCCAGAGGAGGAGGAGGATCAGGAGGAGGAGGAGGAGGAGGAGGAGGAGGCGGAAGGCCAGGAGAACCACGAAGAAGATTGACCTTGCCAGCGCCAGGGGGCCCAGAGGGAGAAGGAGAGGATGCCGGCCCCCAGGCTGCGGCATGGATTCGTTCTGCCTTATCTGACGAGGGCGGCGGTAAAATCCATGGTCAATCCACGATTGGAGTTTCACCGTCTTCTAAACCCTGGACTCCTTATCCAGCCGTTCCTTGTCCAACGCCCTCACCGTAGCCACGGCTCTGGGCCCTCTCGTACAAACCTGCAGCCGGCGGCGTGTGATAGCGTGCGCCACGCCTTACTCGTCAGGCTGAGGGACGACTGACACATCAACGAAAAAACCATCGGCAGACCATCCTTTTACGCATCCCCTGGCAATGACTGGCGTGACCGGCCGGGGGGTGGAGGGGTGAAGGGGGCCGATCACGTCACGATTCGCGCAGCCGCCGTTTGGGAACACCCAGCAATGGTTAAGTTCCAGACGGCGAGGAATCATGGCGTGGCCAGGGGATGGGGAGGGGGAGGGGCGGGGCCAATCTCGTGCGCGATCGTGAATGATAAGCAACGAGAGCAGCCGGGCACTTGCTAGAGTGTTCCAGGGCAGCGCCAGAGGAGGGTGAGGAGGCCAAGAGAAGGGAGGAGGGAGGAAAGAGGGATGACGAAGAAGCGAGGGGTGAGGAGGCAAGATGCACGAGGTAAGATGGAGAGGGGAGATGGAGAGAAGGATGTGGAGGAGGAGGGGAAGGAGAAGGAGATGGAGGGAGGAGAGAGGAGCGAGGCGAGGTCATTAAGACATGAAGGATGATGGATAAGCAGTAGCAGGAGCAGGAGGGAAGCCGGAGACGGGATGGAGGAGGGCGGAGGGAGGGGGAGAAGGAGGGGAAGGGGAAAGAAGGAGGGAAAAGAAATGGGGGGGGGCAAGATCGGTGCGCTCGCGCCATATCTGACATCCTATCCCTCCCTCCCATCCATTGCCATTGCACTGATGTGTCTTTATCCGCGGTCGCGTGGCATAGCCGACCCAGAACTCCACAAAAGGTGCCATCGTGTTGTGCGCAGTCGGAAAAGGGACACTTATGGGACCTGTGCGACCTGGGGGACCTCTCTGGCCTGTGGAGCTTGTGAGACCTGCGACACCTGTGGGACCTGTTGGAAGTGTGGGACTTATGAGACCTGCGAGACCTGTGCGACCTGTGGCATTGGCGGGACCTGCTGGACCTGTGGAACCTGCGGGACTTGTCGGACTTGTTGGACCTGTGGGGCATGCGAGACCTGCGACACCTGTGGGACTTGTGGGACCTGCGATACCACTGGGATCCAGAAAGTGGCCCACGCTAAAGCAGGAGCGCCATTCTGAACACCTGGAGCACAGCGCCGACCCGAAAATGAGGCCCACGCTGAACAACTGTAAACAATCGGATGGTGGGTGGGGATGTGGAGGAGGAGGAGGAGGAGGCGGAGGAGGAGGAAGAGGAGGGGAAGGAGGAGAGGGAGAGGGAGAAGGGAGAGAGGAGGAGGAGAGATCGGTAGAGGAAGGGAAAGGGAGGTGCAGGAGGTGCAGGAGGCGGAGGCGGAGGCGGAGGCGGAGGAGGAGGAGGAGGAGGAGGAGAGAGGAGGAGGAGGAGGGGAGGAGGAGGAGGAGGAGGGGAGGAGAGGGGAGGGGAGGAGGAGGAGGAGGGGAAGGAGGGAGGAGGAGGAGGAGGAGGAGGAGGAGGAGGAGGAGGAGGAGGAGGAGGAGGAGGAGGAGGAGGACGAGGAGGAGGAGGAGGAGGAGGGGGAGGAGGAGGAGGAGGAGGGGGAGGACGAGGAGGAGGAGGAGGAGGAGGAGGAGGAGGAGGAGAAGAAGAAGAAGAAGAAGAAGAAGGGGCAGAGGCAGGAGCAGGCAGAGAGACGCTCGTCCACTCGCCAGCGACCGTCCACGCCATAGGGTCGACGACGCGAGCCGACGCCTGCTCGCGGAGCCGAGCGCCGCGAAGGGCGACACCCCTCCCCATGCCCCCTAGAGCTCTCACCGACCCCAGGACCCCCAGGAACGCATGACGCAGAGGCCCCCTCGGGCGCGGCCCCGCCATCGGCATGGACGGGCCCCCCCCGCAGCTCCCCGCGCCACCAGCACCCCGCAGCTCCAGGGGGCAAGGGGGAAGGGGGGGGGGGGCAGACCAACCAGGCCCTCAGGCTCCTCGGTGCCCCCTTCAAGGATTCTAGACGCCGCCCCGAGGGCGGCGCTGACCGCCTCGGACGGGGGGGGGAGGAGGAGGAGGAGGAGGAGGAGGTCCGGTCCAATCGAGCCGGCCAGTGTCAGTCAGGGCCAGATCGGGATAGATAGCGCCAGAGCGTTCCGGAGCGCTCTCAGAGCGTTCAGGTCCGTTCTGGAATGGCCGCGGCGCCCGATGCATCCGGCAGAGCCACCGGGCCTCAGAGATCTCCGATTCACTGCAATCCGAGGCTGCTCCGTTCCTGGCTTCGTTTTTCAGAGCCGGCGGCCCAGCCGATCCGCGAGAATCGAGGGGGGTGGGCCGCGGTGGGGCCCGCGGCCGCTTCGCCCCGCAGAGGAGGTCCTCCCCCAACGGCTGCCGCGGACCGAGTGCCACATTGACGACCCCCGACGTCGTAATTTAATCAGCGATCCTGTGGTTCGCCGTCCGTCCACTCCTTCCTCCCGCTGCCCCCTCCTCCCTCCTGTCCATCCCGCTGCCCCCACGGCTGTCGCGGCCCGAGTGCCACACCGACGACCTCCCTCAAGCCGTGGCGATGCGTCTTGCGTTGCCCAAAAACCACCAAGTAATGTTTTAAAAACCCTCAGCAGTTTGCACGAAGTGTTTTTAGACCATTTCGATCTGAAGCAGTCTGGTTTTATGGCATCAGCTAGTATATGTTCTAAGAATCTGGTGTTCGCTCGTAGAACAAGCTTCTTTTACTATAGGAACGTGTCTAGGTAGGTTTATCAGAGTGCCAGGACGGTCGGTCCCTGCTTCACTCCTGCCACCCACGCCCCCGACGTCGTGATTTTATCAACCATCCTGTGGTGCGCCCCGCGTCGACTTCTTCCTTCCGCTGCCCCCTCCTCCCTCCTCGTGTCCCTGCATCCCCGCTCATGCCTCTGATCTCCGCGCGTCAGCCATCCCAACACATCCCTCACACGTTTCGTGGCTCCACAGGGAGCTCCATAGACGCGCTTAGGAGGGGGGGTCAGCATGCGGTCCTCCATTGATTTCGGCACAGCCCTCACGCGCTCCGTGGCCCACAGGGAGCTCCACCGAAGCCCCCAGGAGGGGGTGGGTCGCATGCGGTTCTCCGCCCATTTCGGCACACCCCTCGCACTTTTCGTGGCCCCACGGAGAGCTCCATAGAAGCGCGCAGGAGGGGGGGGGGTCGCATGCGATTTTTTCGTCCATTTCGGTACACCCTTCGTGGCCCCACAGGGAGCTCCATAGACGCGCCCAGGAGTGGGGTTTGGCATGCGGTTCTTCATCCATTTTGGCAAACCCCTCACACGTTTCAGTTTCGTGGCCCCACAGGGAGAGGGTCCAGGAAGGGGGGGGCGCATGCGATTCTCCATTAATTTCGGCACACTCCTCAAACGTTTCGTGGCCCCACAGGGAGCTCCACCGAAGCCCCCAGGAATGGTTGGGTCACAAGCGGTTTGTCACCCATTTCGGCACCTCCCTTGACTTCACTTGCACATTTCGTGGCCCTCAGGGAGCTCCACCGAAGCGCCGTTTCGTGGCCACATAGGTAGCTCGACCGAAGCGCCCAGGAGGGGCGGGGTCGCATGCGGTTCTTCGCCCATGTCTATACACTCCTCACACGTTTCGTTGCCCCACAAGCAGCCTCACCGACGGCCTCCCGTGAGGGGGTTTCGCATGCGGTTCCCCCACCCATGTCGGCACATCCCTCACACGTTTCGTGCCCACACACGGAGCCCCACCGCAGGCCCCAGTGGCAGGGCCCGCTTGCGTCCCCGGGCCCATTTCGGCACACCTCTTATAGGGCTCGTGGCCCCATGGGGAGCTCCACCGAAAACGGCCCCATGGGGAGCTGCACCGAAAACGGCATCCACAACGCGGCAATCACAACTGCACACTCTTGGGCCCTTGGCCTGGATATTTTTTCACGCGGCCCCCAGAGACCTGGATATCCCTTCCCCGGGACAGGCCCCTAACGGCCCCCATGGGTCCAGCGAGGGCCCCCGAGGGGCGGAACACCGCCAACAACCTCCTGCCGCCTTCTCGAGTCTGGCTCGGGGCTCGCCCTCCCACCGCCGGCGCGCTGCCGCGCCTCGGCCCGCTCTCGCCGTGCGATGATGACGGCGGCGCCGACCCGCGGCGCCGCGATGGCCCCCGGGCCCGCCGCGGCGCCGCAGCGCCAGCTGGGCGGCCAGCCGCCCCACGTCCGCGGGGCCGGGTCCCTCGACCAGCCGACCCCCGGCCTGGGCCGCGGCGCTTGGCCGGGCGGCTCCGCGCGCGGGGGCGGCGTGGGCGCGGGCGCGGGCCAGGACCCGCGACCCGGTCAGGGGGGAGGCGGCAGGGTTCAGAGCCCCAGCCCCTCGGCCATACGCGTAAGGCTTGACCTTCTTCCTCGGAGTGGCCTTTGAGGGGTGGCCCCATGCACCCATGCAGCACTGGCCCGCGCGCTTGGATTTGGGCTCTTCGTGGTCCCCAGAAGCCGCGCATCAAAGGCCACTCTTGCCTACGGGGTCAATTGCGTATACTCGAAACCCAGACCTCAGGCACATCGCAAAACTCGAAGCGGAATTTTCTCAGCGTGTCCGGCCCCGTCAGAACACGACAGGGGATGAAACACCTGTCCCGGGGAAATGGTCGAGAGGTCGGGGGCCCTCGTCTCGCAAAAAATCCAGACGCGGGATGTTTTGGTTCGAGAGGAACGAAACATGACATAAACATCAGAACTCGGAGGTCCGCGCGGATTTCTTGGATCCGCGCTGGACCCCCTTCTCTGGCGTGCGGAGCGCGCCAGGGGCGGCGCCGGAGGCGCCGCCACGGGGCCCCAGCGCCGATCCGAGAAATCCGCGCGGACCTCCGAGTTATTATGGTTATGTCATCGTTCGTCCCCCTAGGTTAGGCTCTTTGTAGGAGTGACCCTTCGCCGGAAGGACCTTTGGTGCGGGCCCGCAGAGGCCCCCCCCGAGCACTGGTCTGCGCGCTTGGCGTTGGGCCCACCGCGACCCCCCAGAGCCGCGCATCAGCGCCGCCCCGTGCCTTCTGGGAGCGCCACTTCGACCAAACGCTGGGCCGAAGTCTGGCGACGGCCCATTTTGCTGGTGGTCTCGGGTCTTGAAACCGCTGCTGGATTCTGAAGTCGCGAACAGGTGGCTGGGTCCTGATTTGGGCTTCACTACACTTCATCGCACTTCTGCTGCGATCGCGCCTGGTCGGCCTGGGGGGCCCTTCATGGGACGTGCGGAAACCCAATCTGCTTCAACGCCGTCCTACTTCTTGTGTCTACCCACTTCCTCCGACCGACGGGTACTGCTGTGTTTTTCTTGGTCGTGCTCTCCACCTCGCAATGTTCTTGGTCTTTTGGGGTACCTCTATGTGGGGCATCGGGCCTCTGGCGCAGGGGCCCATATGATCTTGGCCCGCGTCCTCGTGGCCGCGCTTCGGGGGTACAGCGCCCCCCTCCCGCACAGTCGAGATGCTGAGAGAAGGACCACTGTGGGCTCAGGAGGGCTCTCTCCCCCCTCCTCCCCTCCCTCCCTCCCCCCTCCTCCCCCTACCCGTCCTCCTCCTCCTCCTCCTCCCTCCTCCTCCTCCCTCCCTCCTCCTCCTCCTCCTCCTCCTCCTCCTCCTCCTCCTCCTCCTCCTCCTCCTCCTCCCTCCCTCCTCCTCCCCCCCCTCCTCTCCTCCCTCCTCCTCCTCCTCCTCCTCCTTCCTCCTCCTCCTCCTCCTCCTCCTCCTCCCTCCTCCTCTCCTCCTCCTCCCTCTCCTCCTCCTCCTCCTCCCTCCTCCTCACCTCCTCCCCCCTCCTCCTCCTCCTCCTCCTCCTCCTCCTCCTCCTCCTCCTCCTCCTCCTCCTCCTCCTCCTCCTCTCCTCCTCCTCCTCCTCCTCCTCCTCCTCCCTCCTCCTCTCCTCCCTCCCCTCCCCCCTCCCTCCCCTCCCTCCCTCCCCCTCCCCTCCCTCTCCTCCCTCCCTCCCTCCCTCCCTCCCTCCCTCCCTCCTCCCTCCCTTCCTCCCTCCTCTCCTCCCCCCTCCTCCCCTCGCCTCCCTCCTCTCTCCCCCCTGACGACGTGCCCCGCATGTGCGAGAGCATGACCAGCACGTGAAGCCGTGTGGAGTCCTCGAGATTGCACCGGTGCGGTCTGGTCGCTGCCCCAGGCTGCAGCTGGGTGTGTTCGTTGTCTGTGCTCGGGTGTCGGATCTCTGTTTCTCCAACAGAAAAAGCTGTGGGCTCGGCAGGGGCTCTGGTCGGGCAGGCTGGGACAAGGGCAGATCCGTTCCAGAGCGTTCCGGAAAGCTCTCAGAGCGTTCCAGAACGCTCTCAGAAGGCCGCGGCGCCCGAGACATCCTCCAGAGCCATCGGCTCTCGGAGATTACCGATTGATCCTTGTCCGATTTGATCCTTGTCCTGGCTTCGTCTTGCTCTAGTTTTTGTTCGGGCCCTTCCTCAGGGCTGGGAAGGAGAACCTGTCCGTGGCCGGGGCCCGCCGCGGCCACGCTCCTTCCACTGTATGGCAGCACGATGGCTGTGTTCAGTAACGTTTAACCGATCCCTGACGAAGAAAATCCCGGAGGCCTCGTGCGGCGCGCAATAGTTGTTTAACCCAGTCCGCACGTCCGCCCCGTCAGATATGGGACGACGTTCGCGCGGTGATGTTCCGACCTAAGTCCAACCGGCTTGAACCTTACGCCTTACGTGGATCCGACGTGGATCCGACGGAAACTGAGTCGCAAGTGGCTACACGAGGCCTCCAGGAATGTTCTTCGTAAGATCCCTATCCCCATCCCCATCCCGATCCCAGCCATCCCCCCACCTCATCGGTTAAACGATGCTCATGTGTGCTCTTCGTGGTTTGGCCCTCTATCTCAGAGCGTTCTCCGTTTTGAGCATCTCTATGGGGCACTGGGCCTCCGGCGAAGGGGCTCATGCTCTTGGCCCACTTTCTTGTGGCTGCGCTTCGAGTGTAACAGCACCCTCTCCCGTGACGCTCTGCCGTAGGTCGCGCCCAGGATCGAGATAGATCGCTCCAGAGCTTTCCTCGGCGCTCTCAGAGCGCTCCAGAATGCCCTGAGAAGGCCGCGGCGCCCGATACATCACTCAGACCCGCCAGATCTCAGAGATCCCCACTCACGTACAGGAACCTTGGCTTAGCGTGCCGCGGCGCCGCCAGTTCTGGCCCACCACGCTTCGGCGCAACACGCTATCCACCTCCTGGTCTCCAGGCATCAACGTCTCGAGCCTTTCCGAGCATCCCGCCCCGCGGAGCGGAGCGCCACGCTGTCCGCTTGCAAGCTGGGGCCGCCGCCGCGACACGCTAGGCAAAAGTTCTCGACTCGGAAGGGGCTGGGACAGGAATGAATCCGTGCCTGAGCGTTTCGGAACGCTCTCAGAGCGTTCCAGGACGCTCTGAAAAGACCGCGGCGCCCGAGACATCCTCCAGAGCCGTGGGATGCCAGAGATTCTCGATTTATCCTCACCCGCTTTTATCCTCGCCCTGGCGTCGTCTTGTTGACCGTATCCCGATCCGATGCTGTTGGGAAAATGGAGCGCGCGATTGTTGCGCTGATTTCCGTGGTTCTGGACACGGGCGCGTCGACGTTCAGGGCGACCGTGCAAGCGTTGGTCGGTCGATCTTTGGCAACCCTTTTCAGCGGTCATTGATGAGTATTCACAATGTTCTGAACATTCGCATGGTTTGTTCTTTCGCGCTGTTCACTGGCCTGTGTGTCCCTTCTTCCTTCCTTGCCTTGTTTCTGGCTCTCGGCTGCCCCCCTCCCTTCTCCCTCCCCGTGTCCTCTGCCTTGCCCTTGTGTTTCCTTGCCTTTTGTGTCTTGTGTGCTCTCCCTCTGTCTCCCTGCTTGGCTCCCTGCTCCGTCTCCCCGTCTTCCGTCTGTCGGCCCTGTCTGTCCTTTCTGTCGTCCTCCCTCTCCCCCCCCTCCCCCTTCCGCTCCTCGGCTCCTCGCTTTCCCGCCTGTCATTGTTCCTTGCCTGGCCCGCGTTTCTTTGTCGGCCCGTCCTGTGGTCCGAATAAGAAAACGCATTCCAGTTGCTCGCCTCACTCGGTCTGCCCAGGCGTTTTTCCGCGCGCCGTCAGGGGCCCGGCCCGCCGCGGCCAGTCAGCAGACCGCTTCTTCTTCCTCTCCTTCTTCTTCTTCTTCTGGTCCGATGCTGTCCCGGTCTTGGCTTCGTTTCGCGCAGCGCTCTGCCTGTGCGCACCGGCCGATCCGCGAACGGCCCCGACCGTGAGGAGCCAGCGGCCGCCGTGGCTGCGGTTCTCGTGGCCGCACTCCTGGCAGGCAGCGGGCCGCCGCTGCTTTCTCTCCGTCGTCCGCCTCGTCCTCCTCGTCTTCCGTCGTCCTCCTCGTCTTCCGTCGTCCTCCTCGTCCCTCGTCCTTCTCCGTCGTCCCTCTTTCTCTTATGTGTCCTCCTCGTCATCCTCCTGCATTTCTTCCTCATTTTTTGCCTGCCCAGATGGGGTCAGACGGTCGCGCCGCATCGCCGATGCATCGCCGATGCTGATCGATGTGGAGCCTCATTTTCTCTACGCCGACGTCGCTGATGCATCGCCCACGTCGCCGATGCATCGGCGATGCGGCGCGATCCACCGACCCCATCAACTCGGACCTCACCTAGGAGGCCTCTACCATCGTCCTCGCCAGAGCCGTGGCCGCGGCCACTGCGGGTTCTGCAGGGCTCAGGCGGCCAGGCGGCCAAGTGGCGGGCGGGATCAGAGACAGCGGCGACGGAGTGGCGCCTCCTCGTCCGTTTTTTCTTCCTGCTCCTCCTTATCCTCCTCGTCCTCCTCTTGTCCAGCCCCCTCGCCTCTCTTTCGTTCACAGGTTCAGAGCTCAAGCGCTGCGAAGTGCCACGGCTCGTGAGCTGATCCGTGCCAGCCAGACCAGGTGATATCCCCCAAGCCGCGTCATGCCTCCTCCTATCCAGGTCTCTCGAATTAGGCCAGAGGAGTTGGGTCGGAGGATCGGGCCGCATCGCCGATGCATCGGCGATGTGGCCCGAGGCGGAGCCCGATTTCTCTGTGCGTTCGTTGTGGATGCATCGCCGACGTCGCCGATGCATCGGCGATGCGACGCGATCCTTCGATCCCATCTGCTCGGACCCCAGTTGGGATGCCTCTATCCTGGTCGTCTCAGTAACGATGCCCTTCGTTGGTTGGCCCCAGCCTAGCCCAGCGATCAAAGCCTCCGTCGGGTAGTTGCGCTATTCCATGCTCGTCGGCTTGCTCATGCTGGGGCCAACAAGCTGGGTTTGGCAGTCGTCCCCCAGAAGTGGACAAGTCTTTCGGCCGGACAGCACAGTCGGTCATTGCTCTGTGGGCAGCTAGAGACCGGCAGAATCTTCATCAGACGCTGTACCTCCTAGTCACCTTTTTGACAACTTTCGGTCAGACACTCGTGCTTAGCGCGTCGTTCAGCTGGTTCTGGCCCACCACGCTTCGGCGCGCTCCGCGAACCACGTCAAGGCCCCTCTACGTCTCGAGCTTTTTGCGGCCTCCCGTCCTGCCAAGAAGAGCGACGCGCCATCCGCTTGCAATGCATGGCGTGCCGCCGGGGCCGCCGCCACTACACGCTAAACGGCCGCCGCCGCGACACGTTAAACAAAAGTTCCTGGCCGTTTGACCCTTGCATACAAGGCGTTCAGGAAAAATGTCACGACGGTGCGCGCACGTTGGTATTCATGGCGCCAACAATGGGCGTCGCATCCGACGGAACGCAGCCGTGGGGGGGGAAGGGAAGACGACTCTGAAGGAGAAAGGGCAAAGGCGAGAGGTATCGAGCGTTTGTCCGCGGCCGCTTGGGTTCAAACGACCGGCCGCCCATTTGACCGGGTCGCACCGCGGCCCGCTATCTTACATCGAGACAGAAAAGGTTCCACCCTTATTCTTGAGATGTCCCCTCGCCGCTCACGTGGCCCTTTCCTACCTTTTGGCGCTATCGCTAATATGATACAACAGGATTGGACGTATACTTCGCGTTCGGCGAAGTATCTGGTTGGGTCTCCCAACTGGCTGTAAACTTGGTGGCGGAGCTGGCCGTTGGTGGTCAGATCTAGCTCTATTCCTTATTATCTACGGCGTTATCTGGTGGACTGTTGATATGGTGGACCATCAGGGCGCAGTGGCTCTACGCGGAGGAGACCATGGCCATCGCAAGGGCACTCGCACTGAAGCCTCTGTTCGCGCAGTGGTCTCCTACCTGAGCCTTGCATCTCTGCCCTAATACGCTCCTGAAGCCCACCTTCCAACGCCAATGGGCAATTTTTTTTTCGAAGACACCATGCATGTTAACATACGTCATGACATCGTGCTGCTTGCACCTCGTCGCGAACGAACGGCAACGCCACCTCGCAAACAACAGCCACGCACAACCGACACCGACCTACGAGGCCAGTGGATTGGCATCGCTATCTTTGGCCTCCTCTGGGTCGCCATCGGATGTGCTGTTGGACATGTCCAACGCGGTGCAGGCACGCGCACTACCAGCCCCCGGTGGGAACCTGCCGGTCACGTACCTTTCCTCGAATTCGCTCGAGAGGTACATGCCTGGATCAACGTGACCACACGCACGACGACTCCCTCCCAACAGGCCGCTGCTCTACAGCGTGGCCTTGGAGGTCTCGTAAGGACCATGGCCATGAGAGACCCCAGCAGTAATCAATTTTGGAGTGGACATTGGCGGGCACCACGCCGATGGAGTCACCTATATAGTGTTCCCCCTCAGCACTAAGTTCGATAATATTAAAAATGAGAGACAACTGAATTCGGGGACGGCTCTCATCGACTGTGGCGCCCACGCGGGAGAACAGATCGACCAGACGCTTGCACGTGTCGAGATTGCACGTTTTGAAGCTGTCGTTGCGGGGTTCAACATCCCAAACTTGCAAGACCTGACAGTTATCCCTAGATGTCGGTGCTTCGCGCGCACAACAGCTACTACAACCATTGAACCACCAAATGCCAAAGACCCAGCAACGCATCGACCCCTTACTGGAGCGTACGAGGGCTTACGCCCATATCGCTGAGCGAGCCCCTGGTATCATTGGTGGTGTGTTGAACCACGGCCACCGCACTGATGTCTTTCATAGTGACACTCATGCGGAGAGACCTGCCGGCACCATCTGGAACGACGATCCACAACCAAACGAGGCCACCATGTTATTAAGCCAGCAAGGTGGCCAGCCCACGGGGTCGCAAAACTCCTGGGCTCAATATCAGGGTCCGTCGGCAACGACGACCCCTACCCAAGCCACCACCTTAGTGGGCTCGGCTGGGCAGCCCGCAGAGTCCGACTTTGACCAGGCACCTATACCGACACTTCGTCCGATGAAGGAATTGGCATCTTGGACTTTCCTGATACGCCTGTAGGCCTCACCGAGGAACAACAAGCACAATTGATATTCTTGGGCCATCAGAAACATAAACGCCGTTAGAGACGCTTTATGAAGAAACCATGTCGAACGATACGACGCGCGGTCCGACGTGTGCTCAGGGCAAACGGCATAGGTAGAGGCAAGGGCAAACGACGACGGTTGCACGGTAGAGGTATGCGAACATTCCTGGCTTCCCTTGCGGGACCACAGTAAGAGGAAATCTTCCTGGCGAAGGGTAGAGGCCGCAGGCGCACCTCACGAAAAGGCAAGGGACGTCGGGGCAACCCGAAGGATGCCAACGGGAAAACCATGGAATGTGATAACTGCCAGAGCACCCAGCATTTTCGTCGCGAGTGCCCCCAAGGCGACGAGAGAGGCAGGGGTCCGTCGATGCATTTGGCTCAAGCCGATTCTGGCATTCAGCATGTCGACGTCGAAACCCTTCTTGCCGAATCAGAGAATAACCCCACTCCCGCTATGCATATCACTTCTGCGGGGCACATGAACGCCAGCGTGTCCCTCGAGAGGTGCGCCGAGGAGCTCTACGAGGAGGTTTTCGTTGGCCACGACGGCATCGATCTCGCAGATTGGCTGGGCATCCCGATCGCGGGGCAACCTGCGCATATGGAGAGCATCGAAGAGTGCCGATCTTCCGCCGACTCGGACTACGAGATGGCGGGGGCACCTGCACACTCCGATGGGTGCGCGCCAGGTAGTTCCGATGACGACGCGATACGGGCCACGGAGAAGGAGCTACAAGTGGCGCCCCGACCGCAGGCGGTTGGGAACCCTACGTGCAGGGCAACCTGCGATGATGATCCTTTTGCGGGGTAACCCGCGCGACGCTGGTGACCTTACTGAGCGGGTCCGATGCGAACTTGGACATATTGAAGGCTCTCACTTTCCCCGTGCACTACACGACCGCCCCTAGAGCCGGAAGGCTTGGAGACGCGTGGGGCGCATTGGGGATGATGATGAGGAGTGGGAAGCTGAGAGCAATTCGCCATGCCGCCATCGGCAGAGTCATTCGCGCAGGCACTCGCGCGCCCGCTCAAGCGGCGCGCAGCGCCCGCACCCGCGCGATCCGAGTGGACCGCCAAGAAGGCATGGTCGCGGGGCCACTTGCACCAGGGGGATGAAGGCTCGGACGAGCCCGAAGGCCATCTTAGATCCGGAAGTTGGTGGACAGAACGACGGCATTGCTCGCCACCAGAAGCCGCGCGAGCACATGTCGCACTGGCGGTCACGCGGCCGGACCGACCACGAAGTCCGTCATCATTGAGCATTGCGGAACGTGCAGCGGAACCCTGAAACGGGCAAGATCACCCTTTCCAACAGACAGGGCAATACCTGGCAGCCTGAAACGCTGGAGAAGAAGGCTCGCAAAAAAGATGTCTCTGCGCGGATCGGAAAAATGACCGAGAGGAGGTCCGTGGACGCGAGCGCGTCGCGGACCCCGGGCCGAATTGCCCGACGGGGCGCCCTTCAAGGTTTCAAGGGGCCCCAACTTCGAGCAGACCCCATGGGTCTGGTCGCATGGGGATGGCGAAGGCCGCGCGGTGAACCCAGGCCTCGACCCCAGCCGCCCGCACCTGACTCAGGCGGACTACAAGCCGCTAGATGAGACTCAAGCAGCACTCGTCGAGAGGGAATGGCAGGCCCAGGCTGGGGATCGCCGACCTACGTGCCGCAATCGGGCATGCCACGTGCGCTAAGATCGCGAGGCCCGCCCTGGGGCGCAAGCTGCCTCCTCTGCGGGGGAACCTGCTTCTTCTCACGAAGGTGCCGACAGGGTCTGGACAAGCGGAGCGACCCGCCGGTCGAGGCTGGGAAGGGAGTCAAGGTGTCCGATCTCGCACGAGTTGTTGATCCCATCGACCTGCTTCTGGATATGTTCACGAGTCCTACG